GAAATAGACATTCAAGTGCTTTAGAATCTGACTCCTACTGGTTCCCAGCCTTTTCCTGCAGCCTGGCTACTGCCATTCCCTGTCCCACAGCCTGTCTGTCCCGCTCCAGGCCAAGCTGCTTTCTCACCCAAGAAACCTTATCAGTGTCCATGCTGTGTTCCCCCGAGGGTAACAAGAACACCCCCTTTGAAATTCTCCAGCATATTGCTTAAGAATTTTTTTACAGCACCAACGTAAGAAACGTCCAAACCTATAGAGAATTGTTATGAGTTTATTTGAGCCAAACTGATGAAATTGCCGAGAAGCAAGATCTCTCAAATCTTGTTCCAGAAAATGACAGTTTTGTAGTTTCTTTCATTCTTTTACAATTAAAGGGAGAACGTAGGAAGATTACCTGAAGGTGGGAGGAAGCAAGACAGAGATTGGATTACAGGATAGTGAATATTATGTGCTTTCTTGAGGGTGGTTATGCTTCTGAGGGGTCTGAAAAAGAGGCATTTCACAGGTGCGGTAACCTAGATGCACAGAAACGATGGACAGGGCTTGCTTAAGGTAAAGATAACCTTCTACTATGGTAGTCATAGGCCTGAGATGTGATAACTCACTATGACCTACCCATTTAGGAATTTATGATCAGATCATCCTGTGCGGTGACTTTCCAGAGACCCTCTTCTTCATCTATAATTCTCCCTTTTGATCATAAATCAATTTGAAGGATGCATTGATGACCAACCTTTAGGTTGGATAGCATGGTATCATAGCACCGGGAGGAGTCATTCCTAGGAATTTTCAGTATCAACATCCTCTTGTTGACCTTTGGGAATGGAGAAATACCAGAACCATGGGATGTGAGTTGAGGCTGAATTTTCCCAAAAAGGGAAGGGCAGGTAAATGGAAGGCAGTCAGGTCTTTTGGCTTTCATTGTGAAAAATACTCTGGATCATTTCTATTCAGTAAATTATCTTGATCTGAGTTTTACCTTCCATATCATTTTTCTGTATTTTGCATCTAGTATAACATTTCCATAAGCCATAAAAAGAGTGTTAACAGTTATCTTATACATCTTCAGTAACCATAAACAGTTGGACTGTATAGGAAATCCAAAGAACAAATAAAACTATTATTAGCAGACAGGTAAAGACAATCGAACAAAATGGATTCGGAATTTAATATTGATCCATAGGCATACAGACCTTGTTGATATCTTGGGATGGATGGCTACCTATGGTGTCAGCAATTTCTCATCCTAGAGGAGGCTTGGAGGCACGTGTCAGAGACGAGGGTAGATGTCCATTCGTAGTTAGGTGCCTGATAAGGTCCTTCCAGTGCGGTTGGAGAGTGTCTTTTATTTTATGTCCTTTCCAAAAAATAAAATCTCCAGGCAGTTTTTGTTTCCTGGGAGCTCACTGTGAAAGGAAGTGGTTGCCAATTTGGCATTTGCTTGAAGTGGCTTTATCAAACCTTGGCAATAGTGTAACATGTCTCCTTTCAATAATGTCAGCTCACAAGTTCCTTCATCTAATCTAACTTCAGCTTAAATGCACTATGATGCATGAAGGAATGAATGCAAAACCAAAAAATGGGGTTTGCCAGAGAGCTCAGCAGAACCAAGCAGCCGTCTTGGGTTTCCCATAGCCCTGACTATTTATTTAATTTACAATCATTGTTTACCCATACGATATACTGTAAAAGTTTTTTTTATCACTTATTTTGCAATGTTTCCCATGCAATGTAACATAAAAACAAATCTTTTGAGATATTCCAGAGGCCCTTCTGGAATACTTCAAAGTTATTCCTAGTACTTTTAATTACAGATATTGATATTTTTTCATCCTTAAAACTTCAATTTGTAATGAAAACTAGGAAGTCATATTTATGAAGACATTTTATAACTTCTAGAACATATTTCATAGACTTCGAAGTCAATTTTTAACACGGAGCAAATCAACAAACTTCTATTTACTAAAGATAAATCTTAGATCACATGAACTCAAAAAGCATTTGGGTTTGTTTCTATATTTCTGAGAATTTTAGACTAACCAGTTCTTATAAGTGCTTGCCTTCGAGTCAATTAATTTTAATTTATTAAATTAATTTTTTAACAATACCAACTGGAAGTAGAAAATTATCTCACATGTATAACATGCATATGTAGACACACATGGACAGATACAAAAAGAGACCTTTTAGCCGTGAGAAAAGCTCTCTAGTTTATAAAAGAACAGCGGGTCCAAATTTTGTTTTGGCAGTTGGGATAAGAAGACACTGACAATTCGTATCCGTCCTTGACAAGTCAAGTCCCAAGTGACTTTCCCCCTTTTAAAATAAAGACAGCTGTAAAAAATAAATAAATAAAAATTTTAAAGGACAGCTGCTTTTTAACACCTCAAAGAATTGGATTGCCACCTAAACGACATCATGGGTTGATCCACTTATCTAAATCCTCTTTTTGAAGCTTTGAGAGACCAATTAAAATGTGCTTTCCATTCATTCTGCCTAATTTTATAGTCAGCTTTTTTTTGATTGTGCACGCAAAAGATGAATTTAAAAGTATCAGAGGATCCTCATCTCGGCCACCTTAGCATTAACGGGAGGCTGGCTGTCGTGGGGCTTGGCGGTGGCAGAGGAGTGATTTCCTTCACTAGTTTTGAGATCGTAGAGTCTGAACAAATTTCTGGGGAAAGCCAGCCTTTATGTGCGTGGCTCTGGACGAGCCCAATGTGGTGAGCATCCTTACAGGGCCGCTTCACGCCCTAGAGGAAGTTTTCCTCAGGCAATCCCGCAAAGATTCTTAGTCACCTAAGAATACCCGAGCAAGGGCCAGCGAGAGCTTACCAGATGCCACCGAAACCGCGACACTCCAGGGCATGGACTCCTCTTCCGGGCTAACCCATTCCCGGGAGCCCTGCCTGTCACACTCTCTCTCCCGATCCCTCGTGTCACTGCACTGGACGCCTCACGGAGCCCATCCCCACCACTCTGGATTTGGGGATCTGCAACAGCGATCGTCACCCCTTTGGCTCTTTGGGTTGGAGAAGGAAGTGGCTTTCTCTTTCAGAGCTAAAGAGATTCGTAACCCTCATTTAACCAGCAAAGATTTTGTTCAGACTCTCAGGAAGCGACCCACTCAAAAAGATGAATTAAAAGTAGCCACCCATTTTTCTTCTCCTTCCCTTGGCTTACCTCCACCCTTACCCCTCTCGAGGATTTTCTAAGAACAGTTCCAAAGACAGGACTGCCCACCATGACCTGCCCAGTTGGGAGATTATGGTCAGATCACTCCGGGAGGTCTCTTCTGGTCGGATTTATTACAGTGGCCTTTATTTGTCCACACAGCACAGAACACCTTTTCACCTGAGCTATAATTTCCTCCTCAGGTTAACGCATGAGTGACTTGAGGGCCAGACACTAACCGAAGGTGCTGGGGTCCTCAGCGCCCCCACAGAGGCTTTGAAAAATGTTCGTCAGTGACCAGAGAGGCTGCCCCACCCAGCTGAGGGGCGCTGGTCTCCCAGCTCCCTAAGTTGTACCTGGTGCCTTCCTCTCCCTGCACCAGGCTTGGGCGGGCTGTGTGCTCCTCCCCATTTCTGCAGGCACTTGGTTTATCTGAGATCTTGACTCGCTGCCTGCACAGGGAGAGGTGATTCTGGCACTTGGGGCCCAGACTTTCGTAGCTTCCATTGTAATGGCTTTGCTGTCTTCTCTCCAGTCTAAACAATGATATGGAGACGCAAGCCTCAGATTTTCCATTTGTGATTTACACAAACTTTAGAATCTAAACAAGTGCTATTCTATGGGTTAGCGGGAAACGAGATGAGGGCCTGGGAAGTCCCTGGCAAGCATGTCTCCGTAAACTCCTTATTCTTAAGTGTCTGTCCATGGGTACCAGGTGATGATCCAATGGGCAGTGAGGGGTACCGTGCAGGGGAAATCCAGATGACTGAGACTTCTCGGCCCTTTT